TCCTTTATAATATGCAGGATTTGTTCATTGAATGTCCTTCTGTCTAACACAAAGATTTATGTTTGTCATGCCGGCTCGAGTCCAAGAGTCATTGAAGATTTGGATAAACACAAACAAACTTGAAATGTAAATATACCTGTTTAACTTAACTAACTCGGAGAAAAAGTGAACAATCTCAAACCGTTCTGTATCATTTGCACCCATAAAGCTATCCAAAACAGGAGCCAACTCAGCTTTATCAGCTATTGTGTTCCTGCACTTTCCATCCTGTTGCATACATCTCAATAAGATCCCAACTGCTGCAATCCTCTCTTCTACCGATTCAGATTCCAAACTGCTAATGATTCTTTCAAGTGCTTTTTCAGAAACCACAGTATTAACAATTGAGGAGGCAATGCCCTCTCCACTGCCACAAAGAATCAGCCCGAGTAAAACCACTGCAGCTGTTCTTGGCTTTAGACACATGTTAAGCAAATCATTATCTTCCTTCCTAATAACCATTAAGAGAGAGTCCACCATGTCCAGCTCAATTAGATTAGGGATGGAATGCCTTAACAGATATATCAAGACCACAGCCTCCTTCAACCCCTTATTGAAAAGAGTCACGATACATTCGACATCAGAGTCAACCCGGGTCAGTGTCTGGATCACAGCATTGTCTCTTGACCCCAGCTCAGACAGTAGAAAAACTGCAGCTGACAACACACTGGAATCAACAGAATTGAAAAGAACCTCCACGAAACCATTAATAACGGGAGGTTTTGTGAGCAAACTCTGAATATCCCATTCCACATTTGCTTCCTGCCAGAATCGCTCGATTCGAAGAACAGCCAGTTCAGACTCCTTGAGAATTTCTGACATACAGAGGTTGGTAATTGCATGTCTTAACTCTCCAACTGCACCTTCAAGGCTGACTTGGCTTATAACACTGTCAGGAGAAGTTGAAGGCATTATGGACTTAACAACTGGGTCAGCCACCGGGCTTGTATTCTGCGATAGGTTTAAGACTGAAAAAGCAGGGTTCTGTTCTTGCCAGCTTGCAATAAGACGTTTGAGCACATAGTTGGTTTTAGGCAGTTGGGTGCTCTGCAGATTCTGGCGGGTAATTGGGCATGTTGAGTTCCCTCTTTCAATCCATTCTTGGATCGCTTTTCGCTCGTATGTCTGGCCGGTCTCAAGTGTCACAGGATCATCAAAAAGGGTGCTAGTTATGGGACACACAAAGTCCTTGGGAGGTGTATTTTTTCCACCACCAGCAGAGGTGCTATCAGAGTCTGCCATGAACCGATCTGGAGAACTAATACACAAGAAGAAATCCAAATCCAAAATATTACAAAACGAAAATAGACAATGTGATATGCTAATATGTGGCGTTTGTCAATACCAAATACTCAAAATGAGGTTTGATTGATGGGTACATACCAACTCGACTCTGCAGAAATGGGCTGCTTTAGTTTTTGAATTTGGCTCTTTGTAGCCTCAAACAACTCCATTTCTCTGTTGTTTTCCTATAAAACTCAACAAGACAAAACACTGAAAACAAAAAACAAAAAAGCAGCAGCATAGGTATTATCAGACCAAAGCTGGAGGTTCTTTTTCTTGTGAGCATCGAACTATTACCTCAATTTCAGCTTCAGAATCCAATGAAGAAGAAGAAGAACCAACTGAGTTGTCCTCCAACGAAGATTCTGACTCAGAATCTGAATTTACATTGGCTGATGCTTCCAACCTCCAGGAAGATTCTTCCTGGACCGTCAGGATATCATTAAGATAAACTCTTTGAGGATAAGCTGGTGGTGGAGACTTGGGTTTTCTTCCCCTGCTGCTGCTGAACAATTCAACTGATGCTTCTGCTTCAGCCCATATTGGCTGCCAAGGTCCAAGAAAATCTTTAGCACGTAGAGAACGGTCAAACTGAACACGAGTTACACGTTCACTCCCAATGTCATGTATCAAAATCCGCAGACACTGTTAAGTATGTCCCAAACTTCCTAATCCCATTGCTTTTTTTATTATGCACCCTTTTATATAATTATGTAACAAAATTGAAATAATACCTAACATTCTTTTGAAACGTTCCAAAGAATCCAATTAACTAAAAGGTCTTTACGACATATCCTATTGAGATGGACAATAATATATTAAACTCACACACTACAGAAATGATATGACTCGAATCTAGAATTTTTCATGATGTAGCAATTGCTCCAAACCACTACATTAATGGATGTAAATCTTTTGCGATCAATATTTATATCTTAAGATAGCATATAATATGCTGAAAATGCTAGGTGTGAGTTAATATATTTAGAACAGTCCTCTTTATTTATATGATAAAGTGACCTACCTAGGCATAATTGAGCAGGACAAATTGCATTTAGCTTTGATTAATGCATGATAAACAGTCTGGAACCCATGGGAGTTTGGGGACTCGAATCTCACAATAAAATAAATTAGAGCCCTAATAACAATAATTAGGGTTTATATAATGAGGTTTTTGCAATAAGACAAACCTTCTTTTTGTATACCTCTTGCCACCAGCTGGCAGATGCAATAACGTTCATGTAAAAATTAAAAAAATAAAAAAAGTACACCACAAAATACCACATGCAGCTGCCCTCTCATTTTTCATTGGTTTGACAAAGTCAAAATAATCTACCTAGAAAAAACTCACTAGCTTAAACGCTTAAAAAAATAAAATAAAAACGTTTTAGTGAGCAAAGGCCAAAGATCCAGAAGAAGAAATACCAAGTTTGAAGATCAGTCAACATAAAATAACAATAATAATGAACCAAAATAATTAAAAGTTGAAAGAAAATAAATTTATTACATTATACCGTCCGTTTTCAAATCCAGGTTCCTCTGTTTTGATCCCCTGTTCATCATCTCCGTACTTGACTTGATCAACCCTCTCAATCCTCTTCAACATCACTGTGGGTGGATCAATCAGTCGACTTGCATCTTTATTTTCCAAAACTTGTTTGAAGTAATTACTAAAAACCCTGCAATTCTCATCAAGAACTTTCTCATAATTGCTCTCCAGCTCCTTCAGCTCTGAAGTCTGTCCCCCGCTCATCTTCGACAAAGATTTCGAGCATGGAAAAACGACAGACATGTCGGATATGGAACAGTCGTCGTTTTCATAACTAACGTTTGTTGACAACGTGGGTAATATTTGTGTTCTTTGCTCATTGTACCAATGAAGAACCGGGAGGAGGTGGACTAGAAAGAGCTCTTCGAAAAGTACAGGGGCGAGTTCGGTTCGAGCGAATGAAGGGTCGGTGTGGAAGATGTCGAGGAGGCTGAGAGCCGCTTCGATGGGGCGGCGGTAGAGGCCGTAGATGAGGGAGAGGAGGAGAGAGGAGAAGGGGTTTAAGGGGTTCGTGAGGAGGAGCTTTTCAGAGAGGCTGAGAGAGGAGGCTTGAATGGCGGGGCTGGTGGAGGAGATGGCGTTCTCTAGGGTCTCCGCGGCGAGGTTTAGGGGGTTGAGGGCGGCTTGGGAGGCAGAGGAGGGGAATTTGCGGCGGAGGGTGGAGAATAGGTGGCGGCGGAGCTCGGGTTGGGAGAGTGTTTCGGATACAAATGCGGCGGTGTGGCGGAGAATTTGGGAGGAGGAGGTGGTGGTGGTCATGGTGGTGGTTTACCACTCATGGTAGTGTGTGGTTATGTTATGAAAATGTTTTTGGAATCCCTGGGTTGGGCTTTAGTTGTTTTAAACGGAAATACCAGTTTTTTAATATCAGTGGCGGGAATTGCCCTTGGACGGCCCTTTTTAAGCAGATACAAGCTAAAGTGGGAGGGACATATTGGTCATTTGACGCAGTATTTTCAACGGTTGCGAAATGCTGCGGCAAATGTAACCCATTAACCATTTGAGTAAACTTTGGGCCAGGATGCCTGTATAAATATAAATATAATATGCCGCCCTGGCCGGCTTGACTGTTTATTATATCCTCAAAGCCAAGCATTTCTATTTCTTGTGAAAGGGTAACAAAGATCGCCTAATTAATCTTTCTTGTTCTACTTCCATTTGTCACTGGTTTTCCTATTGAAAAAACAATTTTCGACACGTGGGATTCGTTGTGCGGCCGAAATTTGGCTACCATCTGCTGCAGACTGCAGGTTATTGGATTGAAGAATTCTGAATTTTTGAAAATTTTGAAACTTGGTAGGAAGGTACCTGATTAAGTAACTCTAAGATGAGACAGAGACATTCAAGAAAATGTGTTGACGCTCGGCACACGCCGAGCTCATCTACCCAATAAAAGTGTGATATGTGGGTCTCATACGACGCATCAAAGAAAATGAAAAGATCGTTCTCTTGTCTTCGGCCTCCAAGCTACTTCGGGGAGATCGAAAGGGTGTAAGCCATCCACATCGATGACAAGACCCCTTCTAACCATTGATCTGTTGCGCCTCATAAAGTGTGCCCTCGTCCCTACGAAAGCTAGGTGTTAGCCACCCAAGTCACCACATCATTAGATGGGACTACCGCTGTATGTGCAGAAATGCTATTCAGCCTAGGCCTGCCCCTTAGTAGAAATGTAAGATCATCGTGGGCTGAGGAAGTGGACAACCCTCGACCACCCGTCGTCTTACAAATCTAATGTGACATAAACAGCTCGGCTCCAAGCCGAGGTGATTGGCTTGTAAATTAATTCATGTTTTGTTCTTCCTATAAATACAGTATGAGTTCTTGTAAAGAGGAGGAGGTTTTTTGAGAGATCACAGTGAAAAGAAATAAAAAGTAACAGCCTTATCCTTTGTCATCTGATTATTTTCTCCTCCCAAAGCTCTTTTCCCTCAAAGATCATCTTAATATACTTGTACTCCTCCATGTTATCCACTTGAATATTTGTAGGTTAAACAAAATGTCTTTTGCATAATTAGCTCATAAGGGAAAGGAAATGGATACAATCTCTAGGCACAAACAACAAACTAAACAAAACAAAATATAAATTATTCAAATTTTAACAAATCAATGGTGTGTGTGTGTGTAGCTATGAAGACAGCAAGGAAATGAATCTAAGCACAACATCAACTGCATTTTGAGCAGCCAAAGATGCAAAGATGTTGGCTTCATTGGAGACAGAGGAGCCTCCACCAGCCAAATCAGAGAGAGCTCTAATTACAATAAAGGGCTTCTTCTGTTGGTGACAGACCAAAGCCACTGCAGCACTTTCCATGTCAATGGAAGTGGCATTGAATTTGGAGTTCAAGAATTCTCTGTATGCTCTGTTGTCAACAAACACACTTGCACTTATGCCCCTTTTGACCCTCACCACAGTGGGTGCTCTTGGCAGACAAGTTGTATTCACACAACCCCCCAACTTCAAATCCTGTGTTTCAAAATTAATTCCAAATTATTATAACAGAAAAATATTCCACAAGCCAAGAAAATTTGTGGGTTTCTTGGTGCAAATTACCTCTAGGTCCTTGGCAACTGCAAAAAACTTAGGGTTGACTGGAACCCAGAAGGCATGTTGCCTAACTTCAGGAGTGCCATGAACTGGGAAGACCTCTTCTGGTTGATACCATACATTGTTCAGAAGATTGGGAACAGACTTGCCATTTCTGGTTTTGTTGTTGAAATCAGAAAATTTTATGTGACCAACTTTTCTTGTGTAGTCTCCAAATGATTCTAAGGACAAGTCATTACCAGGCCCATCTCCAAACCTCTGCTTGCATTCAAGTGGCAATGGAAAATATAAAGAATACATAAGATTTGGTGTGACAAGTGATATTATTAGCTTAATTTCCAAAGAAAATAAAGATTCAATATTTTCTGATCTAGATTACATTGTCTTTGTTTATGAAAACCAGAAGGGACATGAAAGAAAAAGGGAAGTAGAAATTTTTATACCTGCCAATTCCAAAGGCCTGTATGAGCCCAAAATTGAGGGATAGTCACGTCTCCAATTTGGAGTTGAGGATCTGCATTTCCTGCAACTCCATAGTGCACAACACCTTTCACCTTGAACAGGCTTAGCAGTAATTGAGTTGAGATACCTGCATTAAGCTAGTCATAGGTTCCTAGACCAGTTATATCTTCCCTATGATGCATCATTAACCAAAGAAACCAAAGTAAAACAGGTTCTGCATGAACATACCATGCTCAATCCTGTCATAACAATTATAACACTTTCGTCTTCCAACCGTCCAATTCGAAACCTTCTTCCTATAAAATTCAGTATATAGAAGTTGTTCCAAGTCATTTTCTTTCAGTGCAATCAGTGTATTGAGAGAGTACAACGTGAAAAATACAAGAAAAACAACAACAACAACAACAAAAGAGCTCATATCTTCATCAGAGAAACTTTTTTACCAAGAAAACCAAACCAAGGAATTTAGACTTAATGGATATGTTTATGTACCAGAAAAATCCAAATAGGGAAGCTTCTGATCAGCCACAAAGCTTGTGGATTGAAGAAGAGGGTTCAGCTCAAAGAAATTTGGCACCACAATGCCCAAATATGGACCCTTTTTATTTAATCTATCAATCTTTCTCATGGTAGTGTGGGAAACTGCACCATAGGCTATGCTGCTAATCCCCAAAAAAACCAATACAAGAAAAACCATTAACTCCATCCTCAAATGGCTCCCCATCTCCCTCTAAACTCTAAATAATCCCCAAAACTTGATGACCCTTTGCAAGGCTGCAGTGGCCAGTGGTGGAAACATTTATAATCTATTAAGCAAAGCATGTGAGGTTTGAATCAAGTAATGTGAAAACAACTAACTTAGAAAAGTATCAAGGATGAATATTATTATTAGTATTTGTCTGTGTAGGAAGGTCAACACAAGGAATCTTATAATACATTGATGAATGTGTGAAGTCAAAACACACAAAAAAAATAATTGGAATCAGATTGGACTGATTAATCAAACAACTCACACCTCACACCTCACACCAAACTATAGGAGGTCATTATGCGGCATGTATCATGGAACCATCCATAGATTGAGTTGATTAGTCCATAGATCGCGTCAATTAGTCTATTAAACAACTTATTAAGCTGAATGGTACCAATTTTTTTTTATACCTGTGATGTGACATAGTTTTAAGATCTGACTTTTCGAATTCGGTTTGAATGGTCTAGCTGTTATCTTAGTTTTCATCTTGGTGTGTAACTGGAGGGAAAAAAACAAAAGAAAATTTTGTTAAGGCAAGTTGGAATTAGATTAAACTACGTACTAACAAGAAATGAATCGATCTAATTGGAAAAACAATTATTATGGTTTGTTTTTTCTCTTGAAGACTATTCAAATGTTTTGCTTGAACAACTCTCTCTCCCTCTCTCTTCTCGTCTTCTTCATCCCCAAAAACCACATGGACAGACTGAGGAGGTTACGTTTCGTAACGTTATGTTACAACTAGACTGCGGAGAAGTCAACTGGTGGAAAATATCGAACCGATTGGCCCGGTATGCATATAGATGGGCTCATCTAAGTTCATAGCCAGCCCAAAGCTACTGTAAATGCCCAAGTGGACTTTGTCAACCGATCCAATCCCATTCTAAATAAGAAAGTTTGGCTTGTGATTTCAAAATTATTATTATTTTATTTGGATTGATACACTTAACATTTTCAGAACTACGTTATAAAAAAAAATGATTTTTTTCCATGAATTGCGTGGTTTGGAAAATGCATGCATTAGAGCATGTCCACCCCAAAAAGGTAAGGCTAAGGCAAGAGCTGCTACTATTCACGTGAATAGTGGCAGCCTTGCCTTTTTTGGTTCACCCCAAAAGGCTAGGGCAAGGGCAAGAAAAAAAAAGAATATGCAACTAAATATAAACTTGTTATGTATTTATATGGAAAGTGAATAAAATTGTTATGTATTTATAGGGAAAACATCCATAATTTTTTTGTTTTTTTTATTTAAAAAAAATGATTTTTTTTCCATTTTTTTTACTCGCTAACGTCAGTGCCCTCGGGCTAAAGCCCAAGCAAGATATGCCCTTGGGCTTGCCCGGGCTGGTGGGACCCAAGGCTTGCCCAGGCTGCAGGTGCTGCGCTGGAGGTCCAAAACCGAAGGAATGGGCCTCTTGCCCTAGCTACAGTCACAGCGGTGAAGATGCTCTTATTTATTAGGGGTGGGCATCAAAACTGGAATACCGAAACCATCCTAAAATCGTGCCTAACCGTGTCAATCTCTTGTCGTCCCATTTGGTGTTTAAGTGTAAACGAGATGATACCGTGTCATCCCATTACTGTTTGGCACAACATCGATTCCAAATTTGTGATCCCGTTTGGTGTCATACCGTACTGAAAAGTACCAAATAAATAATAAACCCCAATTTCAAATTCCTCATCTCCCACAAACATTTCGACTCCAGCTTTGTTTCCTCTGTCTCCCTTCTCGTCTCCTTTCCTTCCCTTTATTCTTCTCTTTTCTTCTCCTCTCTCTCTCTCTCTCTCTCTCTCTCTCTCTCTCCCCAAAGTGTATAAAACCGGTGGAAAAGGAAAGCCCCAAAGTGTATAAACAAACTCTTGATTCTTAATTGTTTGTAAACTTTGTATCAGGCTTGATTTATAAAAATTTCAAGATTTCTGAATTTTTACAGGATTTTTTATGGTATTAATATATACTGAATCATACCGGTCCAGTTTGGGTCCGGTATGATTTGAACGTGTTCTCAAAAACTCACATTCCGTGTCATCCCATCCCGATTCTCCTATCCGAGATTGACACTGAAATGACCTCCATCCCATGTCCCAATTCTCCTATCCGAGATTGACACTGAAATGACCTCCATCCCATGTCATCCCGTACCGTGCCCACCCCTATTATTTATACAATTATAGTCAATAAAATTCATGTATTATAATGAGATTCTAAAAGTTGTGTACATATAGAGAAAATTCATATTTGTGCAAAAGAAACCAAAATATGTCACATTAACTGTGAGTACTCACTATAAGAGTTCGACTCATAAATCTAAAATGATAAGCCTTCTAACCCTACGATTTGAAGCGTTTATTCATATTAGGATTATTACCACTTATAGTCCCCCATGGTTTTCAAATTCATTCATCATTGAGGAAAACTTTGAAATTCGTTAAATTTAAGAACATGTGTGAAAAAACAAATGCATGCAAGCCAAGTCATATCAGGTTAAGATTATTATTACCACTTTTAATCCCCCATGGTTTTCAAATTCATTCATCATTTAAGAAAATGCGAACCAACGTACACATGCAAGCCAAGTCATATCATTCATGCCAAGTGATGTTGCATCCCACCATTTGATGGATGACACGTCTCAAATCATGAAGATGCTGTAGAATTATAGTTCGATAGAATTGACATGGGGTCACAAGATGTTGGGACAAATGGGTTAATTTGTGTACCTTAGCTAGCACGATTCTTTGGGATGCTCTTAGCCAGCATCTCAATAGCTAGCTAGGTCTTTTTCTGGCTTTTCCTCTTCGAATAATATCTTACATCAAATTGATACACGTGTGCTGAATAAGATTCAATCAAAGCTGCCTTCTAAGCAACATTTAAAATGACTAATGGTACTCATACTAATTCATTAATACCGAAGAATATACAAGAACAGCTAGCATTGTTGTAGCATCCAAAATAAAAGATTTATAGATAAATTAAACTTAATTAAAATTAGGGAGTTTAAGGACTTCCTAATCCCAAATAGAAGCACACATGCATGCATACGTGGGATACGTACGTACGTACGTACGTATACGTACATACAAAGATTTAAATAACTATTGTATAGCATCATGAGCAATCAGCCTTTTGATTTTAGCAGAGTGACTGCTCATGATGTTATATCATTAATTTCCATGAAGCTCGATTTTCGATTGATAGATATAGCTAGAGTGTGCTATCTAGCTAGCTATGGCGTTCATTAATTTACTGGAAACCTCCGCCAAGAGCTGGAGCCCAATAGTCTGCTCCGTTGTCGCTCCCAACTTGGAGGGTACATGAAACAGGAACCAAACACAACCCCCTACTCCTCAGGTCCTTCTTTGCCTCTTCATCAGCATCCTGACAAGTTTTTAACCAGCAAAACAGATTAATTAATCAGCTTAATTCATTACTAATTACGTTATGTCCCCTTTTATATGATCGAAAGATCTTGAAGAAATTAAAGGAGAATGTTGTTGTATCAAGCATGCATATTGTCGGAGTACCTGCTCGGGAGCTCCTTTCCTCTTCATGCAATTGTCATTGAGCAGCTAATCAGAACAATAATGCAAAAGCATTAGCAATTTAATTAGCATTTGACTAGCTAGTTTGACTTGATTAAGCTTTAAAGCTGAGCATGGCATATTGCTGCTTTACACAGTACTGAAAAAAGCAAAGTGCCCCTTTGAGGGTGTAAAGCATATGTGTACATAAATACCTGACCAGGGTCTTCAGGAAACATACAATTCCTCTCCCCATGAACCTAATTAACAAGACAAATTCTGATTAGGTTAAGATAATGACTCAATTAATGACTAATAATTAATAATCTTGCACGTGGGAGAAGAGAGAGGAAGAGATGGAGGTATTGCTTTGGGAAGAGAGAAATGAATAGGTTAATTTGTATGTTGTTTTTGTTTATAACTTACTGCAGACTGTGGCTGCTGCCGCATGTTTCCTGATCCATTGCCCAAGTAAGGTAAGCTGAGGGCCTGCATCCAAGGGGGAAAAGAGAAGCCATGAAGTGAAGACACGTATGAAAGCCGTATATTTTTACAACTTCAAAAAACTAGAGAGAGAGAGAGAGAGAGAGAGAGAGAGAGAATATAAATTGAAAGGAACAATTTGAAGAGAATGGAACTTTAACGGTGTGAGTGTCTCTGGGTGCCAGCCCCAATTGCAAGTACCAACCCATGGTTGTCTGCAAAAGGTTACAGAGAGAGAGAGAGAGAGAGAGAGAGAGATCACCTCAATTTGACTCTGAAGGAATCTGATGTACCCAATAGCTTCTAACAAGACAGAGGCTGTGTCAGTCTGCAAAAGAGATAAAAAGCCACACCACAACCCTCCAAAGTCATACCATGTCTTCTTTAATGCTTAAAGGTTAAAGGAAACCCTTCATTCTATACTAGTAAATTACTAAAACAGGAACCAAAATAAAAAAGTGCCAGGCTTTTCGTGCTGAAATTATTTAAGGAGAGTTCTCTTAATGGGTTTTTTTTCATACCAAGAATTGTACTTAATGTAGTATATTATTCCATTTTAAACTATATATTAGCTTAATTAATTTCATTTTGAAGGCTTTTTAGCTGCATAAGATAGAGGGGTAGAGCTAGCATACCTTCCCAAATGGGGAAACTAGCTGATGAAGGGCTGTAATTCTGTCACCTAATTTCTCCTTCCTCACCTGAATGCGCACAGAAGATATATAAATAAGAGGTGGATATAAATGCAGGTCTCTTGTGGTTAAAATAAGAGGGGATAAATAGATAAAAGAATCATTATGATTGATCAGAAATAGACATTCGAGAAAGACAAGTATATACTTCCACCTACAGTTACAGATGTTTTTGTGTTTGTGTGTGTGTGTCTTTGTGTGAAAGATATGAGAGAGAGAGAGAGAGAGAGAGAGAGAGAGAGAGAGAGAGGTTTCTGTAATCTGTCGTCTGATGAACAGTTAGAAACGTTACCTTGAAGGTTGGCGATGAAGAAGGTTGAACCCTTGCTCTCTTAAGCGCCCCACCACCATTCGCAGTGCTGTTACACTTTAGAGAGAGAAAAAAGAAAACCAAAAGGAAATATAATAAATTAAGAATCGTGATTGGCTTGTGTTGATTAATTAACATATAAAATTATATAACTAGATTTTATAAATAAATAAAATAACTATATGAACAAATTTATGGCTAATTTAGAGAGCGAAAAATGAAGCTGATTCATTCCTCCAAGTTAATGTGATTCTAGAAATGGGATTAATTTAATGTTGAGAAGGCCTTACATTAATCCCAAAAATAACAAAAAATTTGAGAAGAGAAAACCATCTCATAAATCATAATTCCTTTTGATGACTCCATAAATCTTTCATACATTTAACTCATCTGCATTAATTCATGCATTTAAAAAACCTATTTAAATCTGAAATAAAAAAGAAAGAATTTTCGAAACCCTAGGAAATCAAGAATATGTGATTTTTTTTCTTCATATGGGGACTAATATATCATGGACTCTCTCTCTCTCTCTCTCTCTCTGATCTCTCTCTTAATTACCTGGTCAGAGGATCGATGTGGTGGAGGATGCCTCACATCTGACTTGCTAGAAAAATCCAACATGCTGGTGTTGAAACTCGTCACACAAGAAGACTTAGGAGAGGATGAGGCAGAAGCAGTTGATTGCATAATTTGAGACAAAGAAGACAAAGCCGCTGACTGAAAATCTTGATGATGTTGGTGATCATTAACCCCTTGCTGGTGTCCGTACACAAAGCTGCCGCATCCCGAGCTTTCTTGCTTCACATCAGCAGCAGGAGCATTTGGAGCCTGCGTGCTGCTTAATATTTGCTCCTCCCAATTCTCCGGCTTATTCTTTGCTTGATGAAATTGCCTCATGAGAGCCCCCTTCTCATCTTCGCCTACCAATCCACCCCTGACAGTTGAAAAACAAATCAAACCCCGATCCACTAATAATAAGCTAACCTTGAACTAATTAACAAAATGTTATCTAAATAACAAAAACGATTCATTTGTCTTCAAGCATATGATATAAAGACCATGCATGCAGGCAGCCATGTAAGAGAGAGAGAGATAATTAATTACAAGAGGAGTTGGCTCCAAGACTCTGGAAGCTCCTGGATGTTATCGTCAATATGCCAAGAAGGAAAAGGAAGTCCTGAAGAAGTTGTTGATGGAGAAGAGGAAGTGTTTGGTACGAACTGTGGAATGAAAAAAGAAGGAGGAGGAGGAGAAGGAGGCAAGAAAGGAGAAGTAACAGATGGCTGGGTTGGTGGCCTCATGCTATTGATATTCCACCAGTTAGGGTTTCCGGCCATCATTTGTTGCACCGGTGAGCTCTGCAAATTAACACCTCTATTCATGCCTCTTATTATCTTCTGATTCTGAACGAGAGCTGAGCTATAGCTAGCTAGCGAGCTTCCTTTTGTTCTCTTTTTGTTGGTTTCTCTAATATATATCGATCTCAGCTGGCTCCCTTGGCTATTTGTTTTGGTCTTTTGCTGAAGCTCCCAAAACAAGTCTTTGTAGAAACTTTGAGAGGTCCTCCTGCACTGGATTAAGTAGTACTAGGGGGAAAACCCAGGTCCTGTTTTTAAGAGAATTTGAATAATTATGGAGTTTTGAGAACCTTTGTCTTTGTTGTTTCCTTCTCTCTCTCCTCTCTCTTTTTTTCTCTAGCTAGCTCATTTCTTTATTACTCTGATCTGCTTTTTTTCTTTCTTCCTTTTCTTTTATGTTTTTCTTTTCCTTCTTTGCTTTTTCTCTGCTTTTGCTTTTTCTCAAAGTGGGACAGAAAAGGTGGTAGCAATTCCAATTAATTAAGTAAACGAAAAATTGGATCTCACTAGGGTGACTGTGAGTGCACAAGTTTTCTCTCCATCCCATCAACTCAACTGGCATCTGCTGCCAAGGTTATATAAGCATGAAGACAAGGACATTTTGGTATATTTACTGTCTGTTATAGGTAAATGATGATCGATATATATTAACCTGACAATAAAACGTAACCAAAAAATTGAGAAAACTAACGGGGGTGACTTTAATAATTAATTGTTGAGGGACGAACTAATTAATAGACTTAATTGATCTGCTAAATGATAAGAAATGCTGAGTATTAATTCATTGCTTGTCGAGTCATTTATCAATCAATACGGAGGAATATTCATCGAGAGATAAACACCTTATTCTGAGTCACTCTTAGATTTCTTGATTGTCATGCATCTGATTTAGAAATATATTTTCCTTGTTGATTTTGCTTTCATTATATCTTGATGAATTGATGTATAGGCCAAATATTTTTAGGTCATTCATCGATACAAATTTAGAAAATTCATATCCCTAATACGTAACCCAAACTTTCATTTTTGTTAACTTGCATATTTAGGGAAAGCGACATATATAAGGCAACTTTAAGCCTAAAATTCAAGACATTAAATTCTACGTAAGTATTAAGTTACGTCTAATAAATCTACGTACAGGGAGTCAATAAATCATGTACAATTTCAAGACATAAAATTCTACGTAAATATTAAGGTACGTTTAATGAATCATCTACATACGTCCTAAGACGAGAATTACTTGTTGCCCCCACAAAAGACTTTCTTAAAAATTAATCATCTTTGATTGAAAACTTGCAAGTATATAATATTAACAGGGAATGAATGACGATTACGAAATTGATAGTCAGGAGATGATGAAAATATGAGCATTGGCATTACTAGAATTGTTGTCACCCACAAAGACTCTAGTGGATGATGTATGCGTCGTAACCCTATCTGCTTGTAAGATTGCTGTAACAAATTAAACTGGTATTTAAAAAAATATATAGATATGTGGTAAATATGAGGAATATATATAACCCGTGAGAGTATAGAGAGACGACCGACATTCCACAATATGTACACTTTTCGAGAGGTCAATATCTAGGGTTTGGAGATCCCTAATCTCAGGTCTCCAAGAGAATGATTGCAATTTCCTAGAATTATGATTATTCTATATTTGGATTGGACTTTACCCCCATGTTGATAAACGGTCACCTTTCTATAATATTGACGCCCAAAAAGCAATAAGGAGAAGTTTGAAGTTAATTAAAAGGACACCATAAGCTTCTCTCTTTTTTTTTCTTTTTTTTCTTAAGAAAAAGGAAACCATAAGTTTTATGTATCTTATTTTAGGTGACATACTTCTCTCTAATTAGTTTCATCCCCTGCACCTCAGGTGCGAGGTTCGATTTCCCCTTCCCTTAATATCTAAGGCTAGGCCGACACCTGCTAATTGCTATTGCAAATTGCAATGTACACGAACCTTGCAATAATTAAATCACAATATTATTAGAAGCAATAACCAAAATAAAAAAACAATAAAATTATTCTCCTGTGGTATAATTAATCATTTATTCCCACGACATACATTCCCTTAAACCGCATTTTAATGCAATAAACAAACAAAACAACCCTTAAATCTCGAGCTTGCCTGAGGAACATAACATATAGCCTTATTATTTTGGGCACATAGGGGGGGTGGGAGGGGGGTGGAAAATGGGCGTCTCTGGTCCGTACTGCCAAAATCTTTGTCGGGGGCGCCATGTCTTTTCCAGCACACCCAACTTTCTCACTCGTCTTTTTATTTTTCGTTCTTTGGCTCTCTTCAATCTCCAACGATATAAAACAAACAAAGAACAACCACCTTTCCTTTGTCCTCACCTTACCTCCCTTATATTCTTCTCTCTCTAATACTAGCACTTTGATTTTTCTATATAGGCACTTCTTCCAAACCCGAAAGTTCAAGGTTCTTGCCTCATCGAGGCCTTAGCTGCAAAGATATGTGAACTTGTGGCTCAAAATTTCTTGCATCAAATATCACGTTTTATCTACGAGATTGATTTTTCAACAAGTTTACAGTAGTTGGTCATCATATACCAAATATTTCAAGTGAAAACTAAAAACGGCGTGTATGGTGTGAAAAATCATCAACCAATTAGCGTTGATGTATATTGTCAACTCGTGAATCTCACATACATCAATGACATGACATGTAACTCACACCGATGTAAACGTAATCGTTATATAAACATACCATTTGGGTATTTCTAATTTATAACATAATATTTATAAAAATGGGGTTCAATATGGACTTCAAATTTTTCTTGATGTAACATTCGGTGGGGATTCTTGTTTCCCCTGTTTCCATTGAACTATTTTGTAACTTCTAATGATCACAGTACAGTAATAGGACAAACTTCTGCCCATTGCGGCAACACCTCCCTCGCCCTTCTTCATCATCATGACCTCTCTAAGATTTTTTTCTTGTTTTTTTTCTTTTGGCTTTGGCAGTAGACAATATAGGAGCTGAATGAATGGTACGAGTTGCTAGCTGTTGAGCTGCATGTTTTTCAATATCATTAAGGATTAGTTAATTTCAAAACTTAATTAATTAGCAATTGATAATGAAATCGACATTTTTGAAACTTGGCATGTCGTTTCCTTGAAGTCGAATATAAACCCCATAAAAGGGTGTGTTCTTTTGTTTCATATAGGCCATGCTTGATCATTGGATTCTCCATCACATGCCTTAATAAACCCCTTTAAGATTTATGCATTATTCCCATTTATGATCCCCAGACGGCTAATCTTATATAATATATAAGCTTTGTAGGGTAAACCGTAACCCTAATAAAAATCCTGGTTTAATTCTATTCTTATTTAAATGCTAAACTTTAACCAAAAGGTACTGCTACAAGTATAGGCAAATCCCCCATCTATGACAATGAAGACAAACACATAGAAATTATAAAACTTTTATGTTTTTAAAATGAAATTTTTTTTCTCTCTTGTGCTGTTCTATATGAACTCCACTACCCTTCTCCAACTTTCACTTTTGCAGCTGACTATAGAGTTGTATGTAGGCCACTATTATGTTGGAGATGAAAGTTGGATCACTCTGTTTTTCAGTTAAAATTTAACTAAAAACACACGAAAGTTATTTTAGAAGCTTCCTATAAAATTTTGGCTTCAATCATACTCTTTAGGTTAGGGAGTTATATAACTGCTATAATTCTTTTTTAATTCAATATAAATGGTTCATCTCTATAAATTATAGGGAAACACTATTAGTCCATTCTCTCTCCTCATATTTAGGAGTTCCTAGAGGTCTTCTTGTTTTATGAGTTGGATAGAAAGCATGGTTGGATATGGGTTTTTTCACTTCCTTCCTAAATTTTATCCAAAGAAGTGATTTAGGGAGTTTATTATTACGGATGCTCTTACAAAGGTGTAGAGTTAGTCTCTCAAGAGTATATATATATATATATATATATATATATATATATAATATGTAAATAAAAAAAAAAAAAAAAAAAAGAAGAAGAGAAGAGAAGAAGAAGGAGAGGATGATCAGAATTAATCAAGTTTGGTGTTTAGCCACTTGTCATCCTTTATATAATCATGTTAAAAAGGAAAAAAGAAAAAATAATTTTAATTTTGTAATATATAAGTTTTCGTGTAGTCAATTTCAAAACGCAATGAAAGAAACTCATCAAATTTGAGCATGTAGTCAATTTCAAGTTTCAACATCAAACTGACAAGCAATCCAAATTTCCTTAAACTTACGCTACTTGCAGCACTACTGCACTGCACCGAATGCTTTGTTAATTCTAATTAAGAAACTGTTCAGGTCTTCTTTTTTCTTAATTAAACTGTTTCCATGTTTTTTTTTGTTTTTTTTCATTAAGAACATCTAGTACATTAGGACGTTGCTCGAAGAAAATGATGTTTTTGGCTCAATTGCGTGCACGCATTTCGATGCACATATCCAGACTATCCTTATCCTAAAATATATGAGTTTTGTTTATTGAGAGGATCAATCATTTCCAAAGTTTAATTACCATTCTCTCAGGATCTAATATGTGCGGATATTATGTATTTTCTATTATTCATTTTTAACTTTTTTTTATTTACAATGACATCTGCATGATAATAATATACGAATATTCAAGTAAGAAAATAAATAAATATATATATATGTGTGTGTGTGTGTGTATGACGGTCATATATGTAAGTGGTTTGTTATGTGCAAAACACTCTTTATGCTTTCTATATTTAACAAATAATTACTAAAACTATGTGACTTTGTTGTGCCTCCTATTTCCAAAATATATAGTTGATTTTGATACACAAACAAGTGAGTAATTCTTTGGTGTGATCGTCATGTTACCAATTATTAATACTATACCATTACTCATGACATATCAATCTTTACAATTTCTCCAAATTAAAACACCCAAATTATTATTTTGTAGCTTCATTACAAGAAAACAACATTATTAATAATCACCTCAATTTGTGTCACAAATGTTCTGAGAATG